TTCGCGCATTCACCAGAGTGCGGGAGGTCGAACTTCCCGCACACGTGCATTTAACTTCCCGTTGCCATGGTAACCTTAAAATACTCGGGTAGTGTCAACATTGTGATGTGTTGACGGCGCTGTCAATGCCGTTGTTTATAAATAACTCACAGTTAATCTCTTCAGTTTAAACGTTTATTCGTTGCAAAAAATATTGTACACAACACGTTCGTGAGCCTGCTTCCCGCATTCACGCAAATGCGTCACTCCCTTCGGTCGTGCCGCAAACAAGCGTTCATGCGGGAAGCAGGCTATCCCGAACTAGTTGTGTAAATTACTATTACGGATTAGTATTTCATGAGACATGCAGTCAAATGCCTTACTAAGATCTAGAAAGGCAGACACAAAATATTCACCATCTTGAAAGGATTTAACGACATTATCAATAAAAGATAGAACAGCTTTTTCAGTGGATAAGCCTTTTCGAAATCCAAACTGATTTGTACAAAACAAGTTATTACTAATAAAGAATTCAAGGATTTGTTCTAACATTAATTTTTCGAACACTTTAGACAACACTGGAAGAAGGGAGATTGGTCGATAGTTATCAACTTCATTGACATTACCTTTTTTGTATATTGGACATATTAAAGCCAATTTTAAGCAGTCTGGAAAAACCGAGTCAACAATACATTTATTCATTAATTTGGTCAAAGGTGCAATTAGTATATCCTTTACTGATTTTATAACGTCGACATTGAACCCATAAATATCTTTGCTGCTCTTATTTTTTAATTTATTCAGTGCCTCACGAACTTGTACCTCGCTAACTGTCCTGAATTTAAAGAACATATGTGAAGTGTTATTAACAGATATCATAATTTTAACAGGATCAAGTTTAGTATTTGGTAAGGAATTAAGAATATTTTTAGCAATGCTCGAGAAATGTAAATTGAATTCGTTAGAGGAAATTTTTGTAGTTTCATGAATAGTACGTTTTCTACTTCTGTTTATTAATGACCACATAGCTTTAGAATTATTAGAATTGTTTTTAATAAAGACATTGTTAGCTGCAATTTTAGCTTTTTTAACAGCTTCTTCATATTTACGCTTAAAGTTATTATACATTATTTTTAAATCCAAAGTCCCATATAATCTGTAAGAACTATATATTAGATGCAGAGTTTCTCGCATGATTTTTAAATCAGGGGTATACCAAATTATATTATGGACCTTGGATCTATTACACGATAGTTTCTTCTCAGGACAGGCAATATTATAATACAACAGTAGCGTATCTATAAAGATCGAGAACAAATCAGACGTATTAAAGTCGCAATTTTGATCAGTGAAACTCCAATCAACTTGTTGTAATAAATTAAAAAACATGATTTTCCCAAACTGTGAGATGGGCCTTATATATTTAGGGATAAATGAGTTATCGAATACAGCTTCCTTTAGAGTAACATTTACACATATTCCAGTATGGTCCGACTGATAAAGTTTAGCAGGTGTTATATTTATCATATCTGAATTAATATTGGTAAACACATTATCAAGTGTGTTATTATAACGCGTTTTAAATCTGACAGTAGAATATAAGCCGTAGCTAGACAAAAGATTACAAAAATAATTGGCTTTTGCATCATTAGTGCCAAATAATAAGTTAAAATCTCCACCCACTATGACGTATTTAGATTTGCAATGAATTTCATTAAGAAGAATGACTATAGTATCAATAAATTTATGAAAATCGCCTTTTGGCGAGCGATAAACCGTTATTAAAATTAAATCTAACTTAGTGATAAGTACGCCGCATAATTCGCAATCCACCTCAGCAGAAAGTGCTGATACCTTATCAGACAGAATCTTGAAGGGGATACTTTGGTGCATCAGCTGCATAACTCCTCCATGCTTCTTTGAAGACCGCGCAAAAAAAGCTGCCGTGTTGAAATCGGGCACATGAATATTATCGATTTCGATATGGTTCAACCAATGTTCACAAAGGCAGAGACAATTTATTTTTAGAATTTCCACTTCTGAAAAAAGCATATTAAATTTGTTTCTAATGCACTGTATGTTTAAAAATAAAATTCGAAAAGGGGCCCCTTTGAAACAGAAATTTTCTATTAATTCATTAGGGACGTATTTACTTTTTCGTTTTTTAAGAAGTAAAATTTTTTCACTAAAATTCCTTCCGGCCATAATTCTTCCTTGAAGAAATCCTTAAAAATTGTTTTCTCCACTGTGATTTTGAATGACACGCTTTTGGCAGTAGGCCTCTTGGAAGTTTGTCAACACTAATTTCTTTATCAGAGAATTTAGACTTTAAGAATAGCTTCAAATCGTTTTCAGACGTGTTTGGATGTAAATTACCGACATAGATATACCCATTTCGCGGCACAGCCTTTATCAACGTATCATTTTCATTTGTAGCAGAAGCTTTACCTCGAATGAAGTTACGCTTTTTCTTTCTTGAGACAACAGTTTGAAAACCTTCGGCATCATTTAGGGCGTTTTGAGAAGATATTTCTTCATTTTTTTCATTTTTTTCCATGTTCGACGATGCTACGTTTAATGATGGATTAGATGGAATAAACGGGATAACCTTTGGGTCTAAAACGGATTTATTATTGTTATCCTATGGAATTTTCTGCGGTTTATTAGTTTTTTGGCCGGATCGGTTTTGGACACTCTTATCGCGTGATGTTTTATAGTGTACCTTTTTTTTCCACTCGTTTGTATCGTTTATGCCATCGGAAGATATATCGGAGAACGCATCGACATCGAAAGAGGGCACCTTCAACAAATTATTTTTGGGATAATCTGTCAACATTTTTATCATATCAACATTGGAACTCTTCACATTGTTAAGCTCTTGTTTAAGACTTCGAATTTCGTCACGCAGGGAGACGGTGGCTGCTTCTATTGCCTTGCGTAAGATGCTAGAAAAGGTGTTGCTTTTTACGAAACTAATTACTGTTTCCGTTATCGACGTTTCTTCATCTCCTATCTTGACAGATGTACTCTCTGAAGTCGCTGTTTTATTGTGATGAAGACATTCCATTTCTGTTTCGGTAAAGAAACTAAACACTTCCTTTTTTTTATTTTTTTCACGAGCACAACTAGGGTGATAAGTTAGCCCACAAACTACACAACGTGTACACTTGCTTCTTAGCACTTGTTTGCATTTATCGCACTTTATTTCCGATTCACTTCTTTGAGAATCCGAAAACACTTCTTCACTCGTCGCCATCTTGTTTAGGTACTTTTTTTATTTTGGCTTTGATAGCAAAAATCTTTCTGGTATGTAAATACCAGTGGCGGCTCGTCAGATGAGGCAAGTTAGGCGGCGCCTCACAATATATATCGTAAGAGCAGATTGACTTAGAAAGAGCTTTCAATGCATTTTTAGTTACAAAGATATGTTGAAATGGCAAATCTGTAGATGATTATTTATTTTTTACGTTTTCTGCTGACATTTTCGGTTGAATACCGTACGATTTATGCCTCTAGCTCTTTAACTGAAGCGGCCAGAACGTCGGTTCACTTGAACCAACGAAGCCCAATCACAGACACGGATTTCCATCGCTCAGCTCCCATACTCCGTGCGTTCGCTCGGAACTGAGGCGATATCTTCGGTGGTTCTCGGCCATTTTCGGCGTACTCATTAAACCATTTTCCCACTTATTTTACAGAACGGAAGGGCTGTGGGGTGCGTGGGTAATTAGCATGAACGTGAATAAAAGCCCACATGTTGATGTTTCGTATTTTTGTCTCTTTAATAGTTACAGGTGAGTAAAAATGAATCCCGAGTACTACATCGTCATGTTCCTTCTTGAAACACCGTTTTCACGGCGAACCGGCCTAGAACGTCGGCAAATTTTGCTAAATGTCGAGCAGTCAAAACCGTTAATTCATTTTACTTCCATTGGTAAGCGACAGAATCGTCAGTACTCCAAGTTTTTTAAATCAACTTGGCACGAAACATATGGCTCTGCCGTAATATTTATACGACGTCCCGGGATATAACGATTTAAATAATTTCATCCCAAGTGCAAAGTTACATGGAAGTTCCAAAGTACACATTAAAAATTTCATGGACCTAAAACGTTTAGAAAAGAACACAACAACTATTCCCGAATCCCTCCAAGAAAGTGCTAGTTTAAACCAAATTTTGACTTGTAAAAACATCGTTGATTAAATGTGTTAAGGGTGTTATTATTAATATTATTATTATTATTATTAGGACCTACCTGACCCGGAAATGACCGGAATTCGGGCAAGACTATTATTACTAACTAGTAAGACCAAGTAATATGTATTAATCAAATTAATTTAATTAATCTGATTATTAATATTATTATTGTCAAACTTCTATCATCGCCTCACCACATCAGACAGTCACTAGCCGCCACTGGTAAATACTGGTTTACAATTTTTTTTTTTAAATTCCACTTCACTGACATACAGTTGTCCCAAGACCGAACTCTAATATTAAATTAAAACTGTATTGAATCACTAATACAACGACTTTAAACGAGAATAACGTGCACGCCATTACCACGTGACAACAACCATTTACGTGTTGTTGCCAAAATTTGGTTCCAAACCAGGGGAATTTTTTGCGTTACCAACTGCATTTCCTCCACTCGTACAACAATGGATGATGATACTATGTATTTCTAAAGGCTATAATTTTAACTTTTAAGGTCTCTCTTAAAAACAAAAATAAATTTCGCAAATTCAAATTTATAATTTTTCGAAGAAGTTGGAAATGTTTTATTTTATTTGAGGAGCGAGGAAAGTTCTGTCGAAGTAACTTACGACGACCAATTTTTTTGTGTTAATGTTGGAATAATTATTTCATGGGTTCATACTAAAAGCTATAAAAACATCGTTTTTTCTACATATTTGCAATAGTAACCATAAATTTTAAAAGGTGGCTAACCATTGCACGAGCATTCATAGATTTGTGTGTGTGTAAATTTGTGATAATATTCTACCCAAACTGATTTCAGATGGTTTCGAAAGCTACATGTAAGCCGCAGATTCAGCCAAATCACAGCAACAACAAAGGCATTGAACAACCAAGATGGTCAAGTCCTTCGATTAGTCCATCACCACCACCTCCTCCACCACCAATACCTCGACCAGTGAGTGCGAGGTGGGCTAGAGCTGAACAAAACAGTGCCGATTCATGTCCACATTGTCGGGGACGATTAGCGTCACTACCGACCAGAACTACCTCACTTAGTAGCTACTCAGGGTGTAAAGGTATGACTGAACTTCAAAAGAAAACGAATACCGCTTTTATACAAAAATCTACTGAGTGTGAAAATCTTATCTCATATTATGAAATATATAATACAAATTTTGCTGTATATTCGAGAAACAAAAATTTTCGCAAATTTTTGTTACTGAGTAACAAAATGTATCTACTGAAGACATTAAGAGTAGTTTTTTTTTTCTACATGCACTATAAGACATTTTTTTAAACAAAATTTTTCTGGAGTACGTATTATAACACAGTTTGCAAATTTTATATAATTATCAATGCCATGCATTTTTAGTCGATGACACTCCCACCACTCTACTTCAATAGCGCGCAATATTGTTTCGCTTCGTTCATCGCTAAATTTTCGGTCATTGTTATCGCATGACACTGGATTGCAATGATAACGAGGAGTTGAAGGGCTCCGTTAACTTGGCACCACCAAGTTAATGAATTTTACTCAAAAGCTAACACCTCGTTGTTGTAACCTTGCACCAGCTAGCACCATGAATCAAGGAGCTAGCACCATCTAATTATTGAAACAAAAGCCTTTTAATTTCGGGGGTGGGGGCAAGTTAACGCTAGGCCTACGGTATTATTTAATTCTCGTGAAAAATTAGTCCCAGATAGTTTAGACCTAGCACCAGCTAGAACCATTAATCTCATAGCTAGCACCACTCTGCAAATATAAAAAATATATAAAAATCCAAAATAAGGAACCCCTGCTTCTTTTTCTTTAATGGTAAAAATCCGTAGACTAATAGTCTGGAGCTAGCACTCGCTGGGTCCCTTGAAATAATAGATATTTATTTTATTAGAAGTTTAAGTGATACTTTATGTGTCGAGTTTGGACGATTAAACGCCAAGCGATAGCAAGCCGAATTAAGTCCATACGAGTCACATGAAGTCACTTAAACTCCGAATGAAATACAATATTTTATTTTCAAACGATTAATCTTCTTTTGAAATGATTATTTCCTATCTTCTTGCTTCATTAAGGAATTGCCTTGATTTCACTTACCATGGTTACTATGGTTAACAACCACTATGATTTTCACATATTTATACTCCGGCGGAGTATAAATGTGTTATTTATACGCCGGCGGAGTATAAGTAGTACTTAGGCGCCGCTCAAACACGGTGTCATAGAAATGACACTTAAACCCCGGTAAGAACGTCATATAAGTGTCAGTTATATGACGTTTGAAAATAAAATGTGTTTTTATTCAATAAAGCTGTTTAATAAAGGGTTATTTTCGGGAGGAGCTAAGTTAACGCTACCCCCCAATATAATTTAACCACAACGAAAAGTTAGCAGCCAATAGTTTAGAGCTAGCACCAACTAGCACCATTAGTCTTATAGCTAGCACCATTAAACAAACTAAATAAAATAATTGAAAAGCCCTGAAAAAATAACTGGCAACTATTTATAGATCATAATTCCTATGAGTGGCCAGAAATAAACTATTTTTGAAAATTAATACATTACAATTTACATTACTTATAAAGAAGTAATGTTTTCTGTATTGAAGTTGCGTTCAAATCGTTTTTTTTATTTCAACACACCAAAAAGCGTCTACAATTAGGCGAGCTGACGTTATCAAGTTTTTGGAGGAAATTACCAAATATATTTTGACTAAAGATTTGTGATGCGCTTTATAGCCTTAAAATATCTGCAATCAAAGCATTCGGATTAGCAGATTCACAATTAAATTGCAAAATATTGTTTTATAATTTTCATTTTTTTTCCAAAAATCTGGACATTTCGGGTAAAATCTCAGTTCGCAGTCTTAAACTATATGTGTAAGACCATGTTATTTGATACAATTTAAAACCCAATTACTATGTACGATTTTGCAGTGACGTCATCACATTAATGGTGGGGAAGATTAGAGACATTTTGGTTAGCGTTTTGCCATCTACATGATTCCTAATGTAAATACAAAATTTGACAACAATCGGCGTAGTACTTTCGGAGATTATCTGTCTAATAAAAATTCGTGACGGCAGACAGACGGACAGAAAGACGGACAAACGGACAGACAAACAGACGGAAACGGGAGACCTATTTCTTCGTCCTGTAATGAAACGTCGAGAAAACGTAAAAGTAGAGAGTCGTCTGACTTACTCGATTACAATAGTTCCTTTGCTTACGCTCGGGAAGTAAAAATACATGAAAGGCCGTGAATTGTTTTCTAGTGCTCATTAAAACGGACGCATTATTTTAAATTGTATGTTTTATTAATTATTAATTATTATGTTATTTTTACTTCCCGAGCTAAGGAAGTAAAGTAATCGAGTCCATTGGCCCAATTGTTCATGTTTTTTTGAGGTGTCATGACCTCTAAAATACGAAACAAGTGGCTTCCCGTTTCCGTCTGTCTGTCTCTCTGTATCCATTTTTATTAGACAAGTAATCTCCGAAACTACTGGACCGATTGTTGTCATATTTTATATGTACATGAGAAATAATACCAATAATGTGATGACGTCACTTCAAAATTGCACATAGTAAATTGGTTTTTGAATTGTATGAAATAACATAATCCTCCACATGTAGTTTACGACCCCGCATTGAATTTGAAATCTTGCAAATCGTTTAGAGTTATTATAAGCATGATAAATTTTTGATCAAAATATATTTACTTATCCCCTCCAAAAAATTGATGTCAGCTCGAAAGTGTGCGGAATAAATCCTATCTAAAATGTACAAAATATGATAAATCTGTACTTGAAATTTTCATTCATTCCATTCATATTTTTTGGATTTGCCCATACAGGATGACTCAAAAAAATTAATGAATGGGTAAATTTATTTTATTGATTTAATCAGGAACTACAAAACCGAATGCTTTGAAATCTTGAAGATGTTTTAAAGTTACCATAGGCATGGTAAATTTTTGAGCAAAATGTATTTGCTCATTCCCTCTAAAAAAATGATGACGCTACCCCAAAATTTTACTGAAAAAATGCTGTCTTAAATGTGCAAAGTATGATGAGTCTATGCTTGAGATTTATCACTGCATTAATATTTCTTAGATTTGCTTATAAGGGATGTCTGAAAAAAATTAATGACCGAGTCAATTTATTTCATTGATTAAATCAAGAATTGCAAAACTGAATACTTTGAAATCTTGCAAACGTTTTGAAGTTATTGTAAGCATGGTAACTTTTTAATTAAAGCATATTTGTTTATCAACCCCAAAAAATTGATTGCATCTTCTCAAAATTTTGCCGAATAAATCCTTTCGAAAGTGTGCAAAATTTCATCAGTGATCAGTCTATACTTGTTATTTATCACTGCATTCATATTTTTTAGATTTGCTTATACGGCGTGACTCAAAATTAATGAATGAGTCGATTTATTTTGTTGACTGCGTTTTCTCGGAAAATTTTGGGAATACAACACTGCTATTTTAAGTATTACACTGCACCAATCCAAGTTGATATATGTGTCCTTGCAAAAATGTTGATGATGTCATTACAAAATTGTGTAAAAGCAAAACTCAACTCGAAAATGCTGGATTTGTTTCATTGTACTTCAGGAGCAAGGGAAGTTGTGTCGAAACAACTTTGGACCAATTTTTATTATTGCATTTCAGAGGCGAAGGAAGTCCTGCGGAAATATATTTCGGCCATTTTTTTATAAGTCGTGAACACAATAATGCATAGCTGTTTAAATAAATTATGTGTTATCAGTTTATCATACACTCACTGGCAAAACAAACCGGCCACCCTAAAAAATTTTGCGAAACCAAACTTTAAAAATTATTAATCTTACTAGTGATCGTTATTTTATTAAAGAACCATTCACTATTGACACATGATGTATAAATTACTCGTAGATAAAAAAGAAGTCAAATAAAAGCAGAATTAAATTTAATTTAACAAAATAACAGAAACAGAACGACAGTTTGAGAGACGTCTCTAAGAGTTAATGGAATTGTTTTCGCTTGAAAACGTTTATTAATTGCTAAACTTATAATCAAATGATGAAAAACACTGTTTACAACAAGAGCCTCCTTTATTGTTTGTTTTAAGAAAATATCGTACTTGACCTGTTTGTTATTTTGTTAAATTAAATTTAATTCTGCGTAGATTTGTCTTCTTTTTTTGCTAATTTGTACATCATGTGTGAATAGTGAATGGTTCTTTAATTAAATAACGATCACTAGTAAACTAATAATTTTTAAAGTGGTTTTGCGAAATTTTTCGGGGTGGCCGTTTTTTATTTCCCGGTCAGTGTAGATTAATTCTCTGGTATTATGCTTCATTTTGACCGCAAGTTGGTCCACCTTAATTTTAGAATGATAAACTTTCCCGTCTCACTTTTGATTGGTCAGTACCGACCTGCATATCGCGAGTCTTGTCGGCAACAAGAATTGAAACATTTAAAACAAAATGACATAGAGGACACTGGAATCAGTTATCTCATCTAAACAACACGGTTTCGTCTCTAACAGGTCCACATTGTCGAATCTTCTTGAATATCGATCATTTCTAAACGAAGCATTGGTTAATCATTTGTAAGTCAATTCAGTGTATACTGATTTCGCAAAAGCGTTCGATCGCGTTAATCATAAACTATTACTTTTAAAGCTGGACAAACTTCGTTTCAAAAATAACACTATTAAGTGGTTAGCATCCTTTCTGTCAGGCAGGTGCCAGCAAGTTCGCATTGATAACTTTATTTCATCGTCTTTCTCTGTTCCATCTGGTGTTCCGCAATGTACTCATTGCGAACCCGTTCTATTTCTATAATTCATAAATGATTTAACGCAGTGTTTACGATATTCAAATTATTTGTTGTACGCGGACGATCTAAAGATCTTTAAAGTCATTCGAGATACACAAGATTTAGAACAAGTACAATTAGATCTTGACATGTTCTTTGAGTGGTGCAATAACAACTTACTCCCCTTAAATTTAGATAAATGTTATATTATGTCAACTTTTAGCATAAAATCTAACATCAGTTTTAAGTACCAACTGAATAAGCGTG